GCCAGCCGTGGCTGCTCCCATCCTCATCCCACCGCGCCGGGCTGGAGCGGCATCCCTGCTTTGGGTTGGGTTATTTGGGACCAGGAGCCCGTTGTGCAAAGGGCTGTGCAGGTTTTGCTCCTTGTTTCCCCGGCACCGCTGCCCCGATGGGTGGGGAAAGGTCCAGCGACCACAGAAGGAGGATATTTGGTTCAGCCGTGATATTGGGAAAAGCGCAGGAGAAGGAAATGGGAGAGGTGAGTTGTTTTTCTCACTGGTGTTTTGCCTGGCAGGCATGTCCCATGTGCAAAGGGAAGATGATGTCCTCCGGGAAGTCAGTGAGGAGACAAAACCCTTTTCTGCTCCATGCAAATCCCAACCCACAACTGGCACCGCATGAGGTCAGATGCAAAACAGATAGGGGCGTCGCGTGATCCTCCCGCCGGGTCCCCACCATGTCCCCAACACCAGCTCACCCTGCCCTGGTCACGGCCCCAGCACAGTGCCCCAGGTTCCGGGCAGGGGACGGGAACGTCCTGACGGTTTGCAAACAGGCAAGAGCAGTTTCGGTTTCTCCTGCAGTAAAAGTCTCCCAGCTTGGTTCCTGGCCAAAAGGAAACACAATGCTGGCGCTGTGCTTGTTGCTGGCATCGCTGGGCAGGACCCAGGAGTGGGATTTGATGTTTTTCACAGTCCTAATTACCCTGGGCTAAATTAGACAGAGCCCCTGCAAAGTATCCCCCCTCCTTGGGGCTTTTCAGCAGCCGGTGATTCAACCCTCTGCAGCTCTATCAAACGTTTCCTTAAAGGCTCCGCAAACAGGGGGATGTTGATCTGCGCGGGGAACGGCTGCTTCCTTCTTACGAGGAATGTGCTTCCTCGTTTTGTTTTACTTAGGGTTTTTACAAGGACTGAGAAGATCGTGTCCTCCAGGAGAGGAGGGTGAGAGAGCGGTGCTGGGCAGATGCGGGACTGTCACCCCATGCACGGCACTGACCCCGACCCGCAGGTTTGTTTGCCACCACCATCACCTTCAACCCACTACATCATCCCACCTCTTGCACACTGCAAGCCCCAAAATTTTGTCCCCTTCACCCCAGGCTGGGTCCAACCCTGGCAAGGGAGATGCTCCTGCCCATGGCATCGCGCTGAGCGCTGGCCATGCTCCCCAGCCCCAAGCTGCTTTAATCCATGACCCTACTTAGGGGTCTGGGCAAAGATTAGCTAGGAACATTCCCAGCAATTAGCATTTAATTGCTTTGACATTTCACATCTTCTTAAACCTCGTAGGTGAGACCCCAGCACCCGTAAATCCCCTCGGTCCTTGAGGGAGTGAAAGCGAG